TCTAATTTTTTTTTTATTACTGCTATGATGTTGATCTAGTGTTCAAACCTCATCATCAGCAAGTGCCATGCTGACTGGCCTGGGCGATCTTGCTTCTCCATAGTTAGTGTGCTGATACCCTTCCATGTCATGAATTATTAAAATTATTTTTATATTGATACGGACACAAAGAATACATTGCACAATTTATTGCTAGGCTTATTCTGTTGTATCTCATCAGGCGCATCAGTACAGAGTTACATCAACATACTATAAAGCACCAAAAAACTGAATAAATCCACCTGAAATGCGAATAGTTTCTTTTGATGCTTCGTGGTTTGTCTAGTCTGAAGTTTGAACAAAGGACCAACAACATGGCACACTGGTAGTAAACCATAAGTGCTCCATTCTTCTTCTAACTCGCCTGAGTCTGAGGAAGCTCAGCATAGTGCACAGGCTCTGTAGCACTGGTGAGGATCCTGAAACACTTTGGGTAGATTTTTAACTTCAAATTTTGCCAGGGCAGAGCCGTTGGGCTATTCTTTTTGATATCCAACAGCCAAGGGATTTTTTACGGTCACATCAATGCACACGAGCGTCCGATCTTACTACCCAGAGACCAGGGGGAATTACTGGAAGTCCAAGTCCAAGTGAAAAAAATCTCAGATCCTTACGGGGGATTGAATCCAGAACCTTCAGCACTCGAGGCGGACACCATGCCTCGAGACCACACAGCCCCCCTTGTCTAGTCGAAATTGTGCAATGTATTGTTTGCACCCGCATTTTTTTAAAACATTGAATGTTTCTTGTAGAAGTTTCAGCATGAACACAAACATTTCCTAATCATGCCTCAACCTAAGATATAATTAAATTTGTGCCCCAGGTTGGATATCTTATGAGACATAAAGGTGTTTTGTTTTCTTCCTTTTCCTTTGCCCATTGTCCCCCGATGGAGCAAAGTCCTGTAACTAATTCCTGCCATATCACTGTATCTTTTGCTATTGCAGTTAGTGTTCTCCCTATATTTTTTACTTCACTCTAATTCCTTTCTCTTTTTTTTTTTGAGGGGGAAGGGTGGGGAGGGGGGGGGGGGGGGGGTGAACTTAGAAGAAGAAGAAGAAGAAGAAGAAGAAGAAGAAGAAGAAGAAGAAGAAGAAGCTTGTACATTCCCTATGTTTAAAAAAAGTGAGTTGTGTATCCTTTACAGGACATTGCAGAACCAGCCCCAGTATTTATTGGCTGTTGTGGTTTTCTAGGCAGATTTTACGTTCAGTAGTTTGCCATTGCTTCCTGAACGATCAGCTCTCGATACCACTGTCGAAAGCAGCGCAAGACAAATTGTCTGCAGCAAGGATCGAACCCGGCACCCCGGCATTGCAAAGCGTGTTCCCTGTGTTAGGCACCAGTTAGTTAATGTTTAGGATTTACTGGTAGCTGTTTCAGTTGTTCTGCAGATTTACCTTGAGTAAAATAATCTCTGCCTACTAATATCTTCTAAATCTGTCTCACATCTTGCAAAGACTGGGTTTGGCTAGATCATGCTTGTTACACCGTTGTTTAAGCAAATGACTTGTCAGTAAACCTCACTTGCTCTTTTGTTATTATATCTGTCTCTCTGTTTGATATGTTTTGTATACAGCCGCTGAAAATTTTGCTTTCATGTTAAATGTTGTTGAATTAAGAATTGACATAACAGCACTCGGGACACCCCCATAAGCGCTCCATCCCCATCTTCAGCAGCAAGCAAAGAGTTTAAATTCCTATGGTACCAGTAACTGTCTGATTGTATGTCCATTTTCCCTTGAGTTTTGAGAGTGGGCCAGATCCCCGGGTAACTCCTCACAGTGCCATTCTACTCAGACCGTAATGATCTATCTGTTCCTCAGCACTGTTCACTTGCTCCCAAAGGGCCCTCATAACATCCAGCTTGTCATTGCTTTCATGTGGTCATTTTACAGCTTGTTTTGAGCTGGCTATTAATTTCATGCAGGACAGCAATGAAATTTATGATCTGTGTAAATCGCCATATATTACTGGCATCATTGGGTCTAATAGACTGCGATGGTTGGGGCCTTAAGAGAGAATGTCAGAAACAGAGAGATAAAAACTGCATACATAAAGAGTTGCACAGGAGTAGACCATAAGGCAGACCACAGGCAGACATTAATTTCAGTTTGATGACTCTTTGTATTGTGGTTTTACTGTAGCTGAGCTGAATCGAGTACGCCATCCTCAGTAAATATGCTTCCTAGATATTTAAATTCTGTTACTTGTTTGATTGTAGTACATGAACGTTCAAGATATTATGTTTCCTGCTTATCCTCATTACCTCATTTTTCACGGTGTTTATTCTTATATCACACATTGTGCAGGCTTGATGTAAGCAGTCAGAATGGTGTTGTAAATTCTGTTCTTGGTGGTATATTAGACATTGATCGTCTGCAAAAAGAAATTCATTGATTTCTGCAGTATCTGTATTTGCCTCCTGTGATATTCTTTCCATGTAAGTAATGAATAGCAATGGTGAGAGGCCATATTCCTGTCTGACACCTAACTAGATGGTAAAGAGCCATGATGTTACCCAACAATGATCTTGAATACCATGATTTTCTAGAATTTTCCATAGTTTGTATCTGTTGACTTGATCGAACGACTTCTTTTGATCTATAAATATAAGATGTTGACTTCTGTCATATTCAATAGCCTGCTCACATATCTGCGTTAAAGAAAATATTCCATCTGTACAGCTATTTCCCTTCCTGAAACCGAACCATCTCTTACTTAACTGGGGCTCTAGTACTGGTCAAACTCAAAGTTTGATATTTTTGCAAACATCTTTCCAGTGTGGCTCAGGATGGAGATGCCCCTGTATGTTTCACAGTTTCTTTTGTCCCCTTTATTTTTCCAAATGGCGACAATAATTGCTCTCTGCCAGTCACTTCCATGCCTCCCAAGCTATGTTGAAGATTCTAGTTAACCAAGCTATTATTGTTGTTCTACATGCAAGAGGCATTTCTGCTGTAATATCATCTATTCCCACTGCCTTGTTTTTTTTTTTAATTTAATTTAAGAGCATTTTCAACGTCAGATTTCAGTATCTTTGGTTCATGGTCTTCTGCTAATTTATTTTGGAATGGTACTTCCTCCAGTGTTCCACAGTTTAACAGCTCACTGGCATATTCTTTCCCTCCGTCTTCAAAATCTTGACTACTGGTGAGTGGTTTCTTACTCTTGTTGTTAATTACAGTGGAGCGGTCATTGCTTTGACACTTCTGTAAAACTTTCTTGGTGACTCAGTTCATCGTTTCGCTTCTTGTTCTCCATAGTCTGCCCAAGATTCTGATTTTGCTGCTTTCACTTTCTTGTTGCTCTCTTCTCGCTTTTCTATAGCTCCTGTAGTTTTTGTCTGATTTTGTCTTCTGCTACTTATAAATACATTTTTTTTCTACCTGGATACAAAATTTAACATCTTCATTCCACCATATTGTATGTTTTTTATGAGTGCCTAGCTTTTTAAGACCACATTTCTCTTTCTCTGGATTCATGATGCAGGTCTTAAAAGTCTGCCACTCATCTTCTATGTTGTTTGCTTCTATAAGGATATTGGATATTCTGACTGCTCTGTCTATTTCCTCACAACTCCTGTATCTTTTAGTTTCACAATGTTTATTACCTCTGACTGTAGAAATGGTTTCTTGATTTGTGTTCCAGCTGGTTTATGGAGCAAAAGTACCAATGATCTATGGTCTGAATCTATTAGTGCATTAGGGATGCCCCTGGAATTCTTTGTTCTCCATTTCTCTATCCTTCGTGTTAAAATAAAATCAGTCTGTGATGCTTGACTTAAGTTGTTCCATCTATACCATGTTAAAATCTCACTTCTTCGATGTTGATAAAAGATGTTACGGATAATCAAGTCATGTTCTGCATATAGATTCAGCAGTTATTCTCTGCTATTACATTCAGTTGTTGTATCACTGAAGGGTCTCAAATATCTCTCCCATGGCATCCTGCACTCTTCAACCCTTCCATTAAAATCCCCCCAGTATGTACAAGCTGTCAGTATCTTTTTTACTGATGGTTTCACTTAATTTGTTGAAGAATTCTATTCTTTCTTCAAGCTTGTATGAATCATTAATGGAGAGTATACATGGATGTATGTTATTCTTTTTTCTACCTAGTACCAGTGTGATTTATTTTATTAAGCAGAGAAAATTATATGAAGCATCTGTAGCCTACAGAATAAACAAAATTTAAAAAATCACTTGATGTAAATAAATGATATGGTCTTTAACTCTTTCAGTCCCGGAAAATTTTGCTGTAATTGTCCAAGGGGGGTTTTAATTAACATGAAAAAAGTATGAATGTATTATTTGCAAACAGACATACTTTTGGGCCAGATTTCTTTAGTATGTTCAGACCAAAAGCATAATGCATGTTAACACACTGTGAGTTTCTTGATACAGTCATTATAGTCTGCTGCTCCTCCTCCTCAACTGTTATCATCATCATCATCAGGTACCATGCCAATAAGCATAAGCAGATCATGGTTTTCTTTCTCACATGATCACCAGAAACTTGGTATCAGTTCTGAACTGTCTCGATCATACCATGTGGCAAAACCGTCTAAGTAATTTCTCTCCATTTTTTGTTTTTTACTTTATACACACTGTGAGCTATGAGTAATGTTGTGTTACTGCCTTGGCCTACAGGCAATGTGACCATTGGGTTCAAGTCAAGCAACAATGTTGTTACATTTGTTGTTACATTTAGATAGCAGTTCTGACTAAACCTAATAAAAAGAGAACTTATGACCTATGGGGGTAAACTTGACTAAAATAATAGTCATCATAGAATCACTTGTGCACTGTCTCTTATTCTACCTGTCATTTCCAAATGCAGCATTGAGAACCAGCTCATCTCAAGTCCTTTGTGGACTAGTTTGTTCACGATTCATTAGATTTTACTAAGTTGTTCCTAGATGGAGGTTTCCAGTCTCATATTTGTATATTTTGTTTCAGAGGTGCTGAGGCAATTGTGAGGCAGGCCAGAGAGTGGGAGACTTCTGGAGAACACCAGAGAGCTGTAGAGTGTTATCTGAAGGTGACTCCTGACATGGTAGCAGACACAAAGATTGTGGAGAAGTGTCTTATGAAGGTGAACAAAAATAAATGAATTAAGATGTCTGAAAATTAGAAGACATATTGGTTTATATAAAAATCTTTTTGCTGAAAGCCATTGTTTACCCAAATGTTTATAGCCTAGTACATTTTGCTGATCTTTTGCAAAACAACTTTGTTTTACTTCTCAGAGTAATATTTACCAAGCATAACTTTTGTCAGTGACAAAACATTGGAACACTTATCTAGTCTGGCCACTTTAGGGCCACAATTTCTTGTTGAAACAAAAGCTATTCTCCACCCTTATCACATTGCATATATTGTAATGGTAAAGGTAAAGTCTGGAGATTTGAACCAGCATCATTGCATACGGTTATAAACCATAAGTGCTCTGCCACCAGTACGGACAGCTGATGAGAAACTGTCAGCCTGTGGCGCCGTCCACATGAAACTCCGTAGCTACAGCGACGTTCCTCCATTTACTCCAGAGCGTTAACTCTTATACCCATTTCCTAGAGGCTAGGTGAACCCCGGGAACCGTCCGGTTTCAAAAACACCTCCTGCAGCGAGTCGTAGCTAGATTTTAAAGTGAGTCTCCTATTGACTGCTCTAACGCGGCCCCCATATTGATGAAAATTTATCGAAGTAAAGAACTTTGAATATGAATGAATCCACCCTGGCACCATGACAACCTGGTGTTACAGGATGAAAGAGGAATAAGTGACATCAGCTTCATTGTGTGCGACCTTTACAAAAGGTTGTTCGGTTCTTTTGTAATATCCTACCCCAGATGAGGTCACAGGACAGTGTATCATTTTATAAGGTGGTAAGACTGGGTTTCCCGGCTTTCTGATGCTTTTAATGACCTCAGAACATCTAGAACTGGCCCTAACCCCAACCCACCTACATCCCACGAGAGACTGCAGTCTAGGTCCCACGACTGCATGCTGCCTATCTACCATCCCCTGAAATATTAGACTGTCCCGTGACCTGGGGATTTCCCCTGTTTGGGTAGGATATTAATAAAGCACCGGTTGTTCTCATTAGAGGCCACCTGAAAAAAAAACGCAACCTCACGCCAGCTCTCCTACCTCTTGCACTTTCCTCCCCAAGGTTTCTCTTGTGCCCTGTGCTTATTTTTGTTCAACCCTTGACCCTCTTACATGGCATCGTCCTCTCCACCAATATTGTCCCCAAAACACTGTGGTGTTTGATATAGCCAAAATATTTCAGTTTCTGAAATAAGATACTGTTTACAAGCCAATTTTCCTTGATGTTCAGATCTTTTAGTATGTCAGTATTTCTCTTATTCATGGTATTCTGAGAATCTTTCTTTGGCATTTTGGCTCAAAAGCCCATATTTTTCCCTTAGTGATTGCAGGATAGTCCATGAAAAACATCTGTTTTGTTGCTAGAAGACAGATGCATCATCATCATCATCATGTGCCCTGTCAACTGGCGTAGGCGCTCATGAGTCTCCACAGATCACGATCCCTAGTTGCCTGGAACAGCTTTCTTGATGATATCCTTCCATGCCATCGTTTCAGCCCATCCAGCATCATCTCTCTTGGTCTACCTCTACCTCTTTTTCCACTGATCTTTCCAGTTGTCACGATGTTCTCCAGTCTCTCTCTTCTTATTATGTGGCCAAAAAACAGTGTTTGTCTCTTTCTTATTTTCAACACAAAGATGCATGGTCTGAAAATGTTGAGCTTGAATTGTATGCTGGTGCTTAGCTGTAGACTATTAAAGCTGGGAGTCAGTGTGGCCAGCCTCTTGTAGTTATGATATCTAAACAAACCATTTGTTTCTGTTTGCACATCTGTCTGTATGTTCTTCATCAGTGCAAGTTAGGGGGAGCTGCGTGGTCTCGAGGGATGGTGTCCGCCTCGAGTGCTAGAGGTTCCGGGTTCAATCCCCTGTAAGGGCTGGGATCTTTTTACGTGGACTTGGACTTCTAGTAATTCCCCCTGGGCCCAGGGTAGTGAGATCAGACGCCCGTGTGCATTGTTGCCCACGTAAGAAATCCCTTGGCAGTTGGAAATCGAAAAGAGTAGCCTAACCACGCTGCCCGGGCAAAAATCTATCCAGAGTATTTGGGGATACTCACCGGTGCTACAGAGCCTGTGCACTGTGCTAAGCTTCTTCGGACTCAGACTTGAGTTAGAAGAAAGAAAGGAGCAGTTATGGGTTACTACCTGGGTGCCATGATGTGAGTTAGAAGAAAGAAAGGAGCAGTTATGGGTTACTACCTGTGTGCCATGATGTTGATGCATTGTTCAAACCTCAAACCTCATTGCAACTTATGTGTGGTTTTTCTCATTGAATTATTCTCTTTTATAGGCTGGAGATATTGCCATCAAGTTCCTGGACAACACTAAGGCACAAATGATAGTCCAAGCTATTGGACCCAGACTGGCAGAAATCAAGTGTCATTCCACTGTAAGTTTGGACATCAGTAGATGTTGAAGTCTGTAACTGTGGTATATTGTTTTAGCTTGCATACCTGTCTGGCTTAGATGTTACTCCACTGGCGGCCACGCCCGACAACCCTTGCACTTTACCAGATGCCACATATTTCTACGCCGAACTAAAAAATATCAGAGCTTCACCACTATTTCAAATAAACTAATAATATTGTACATTTTTGCACCCAATTAAATTTACAACACATATCAAGAACAAAAATTGTGTTGTCTTGTTTTACATCATCATCGTGTTGCTGGAAATTGGTGCAAAAAAAAGGTAATAGAAAAATCTCTCTGGTACCCATTTCCTAGAGGCTGGGTGAATCCTGAACCGCCGGGTTTCGAACACCAACCGTGCCTTCAGCGAGTTGCAGCTGGATTTGAAAGCAAGCCTCCTATCGACTGCGCTAACACTCACACTGTTCAGAAATTTCTTCACCTTTATTTTCCTATGAATAATCAGGAAGATCACTTGTAGTACCAGAAATGTTCTAAAAATAATTGCCACACCACGACGGCTCTGAGATTAAGACTCCATGGTCAAAACATCTATCACGCCACCGACAAAGGAGTTCACTATAACATTCATGACAGTTACTTTGAGCACTACATAGTTATTTCCCTTGCATACAGTGTCATTACTTCCCAGTATGAATTTTGCCAGGGGCTGCAATATAGGCAGGCCATAAATATGGCCAATTGTCTGAATGCGGTTTCTGGGACCTCTCCACGGTGATCCTCATCCACATGGTGGCACTTTGTGTCATTGGGTTTTTATCGCTTGTGTGATGTCCTGGTGGGGTAGAAAGTCAGTCAGTCGGTAACGGCAGCTTTCCGTTGCTTGAGAACAGCCCAGCCAGATATGTTATGATCGTGATGGTTCACAGAGCATGCTTCTGAAAATTGAAACTGTTGTCCTGCGATTAGAGTGGCTTGCATCACTTAATAAGACCGAGATGAAGAACATATCATGCATTTTCTGTCCAGGATGTTCAGGTGTGTGAGGTAAGGATTAGCTGCTGTTGCTCCTCTGGGCGATAAGCTACTGTATGCTAAAGCAGATGTGGTGAAGGCTCTTTGTGATCAAATGGACAATACAAAAGAACAGAATCCAGGAAATCCATACACTGAAAGATTAATTCCATCAGAGTCAGACTTTTAATCAGGTTGACTGTTGGCAGTCTGTGGTTTCCTTGGTTATTAGGTAGATGCACTCCGGCTTAGAAAGAAAACTTTATGTAATCTTGTTATTTCTTTCTGTACTAATCCAGGCCGCGGAGATGTACTTGAGTATGGACATGGGGCAGGAAGCTATTGATATGTTAATCAGTGCAGGAGACTGGAACAAAGCCAAGAAAGTGGCCAAGGAGATGGAGCCCAGGTTTGTTTACTAGAGATGTAACTGGATCTATAATGTGTGGAGTTATTAGTGTCAGTCAGCATGTCCTTTACAAAACATCACCTCTTTGTAGCAATCCTGAAAGTCTCTCTTTCTCTAGCCAGTTTGTCAGCCCCATGTGCTTTTATAGCTAGTGCATCTTCAGTGTCCTGTATCCACAGTTGCAAATGTTGGCGTCTGCTTCCTTTTCTGGAAACTGCATCCTCCATCACTGTTCTCTCCAGAAAACCATATGTTGTTAGAGGTTTGAGGTTTGAGGTTTGAACAACGGATCAACATCATGGCACATGGGTAGTAACCCATAAGTGCTCCGTTCTTCTTATAACTCAAGTCTGAGTCCGAAGAAGCTCAGCACAGTGCACAGGCTCTGTAGCACCAGCGAGGATCCTGAAATACATTGGGTAGATTTTTAACTCCAAATTTTGCCCAGGCAGCGCCGTTAGGCTACTCTTTTAAATTTCCAACTGCCAGGGGATTTTTTACATGAAGTCCACGTTAAAAAATCCCAGCCCTTACCGGGGATTGAACCCGGAACCTCTAGCACTCAAGCCGGACACCATGCCTCGAGACCACACAGCTCCCTGTGTTGTTAGTGTATTCAGTGAGAAACTAAAGTTAAATTGTCAGAAAACAGTTATTATTATCTTCCTAATAAAGTAATTTTGTGTCCTCACCTGCCATTTTCATGTTTGTGATATGGTGTTTTTTTTATGTGTACCTTGAGGATTCATATAACCTGCCTTTCATTTCTTTAAGGCTGTTCTTGATATTGTCATTGCACTATCTGCGTGGTCTTCCCCTTGCTACGTCCATCTTATTTTTATTTTGGCATGGACCTCTCTAGCAGTTTGTACCAGGACATTCTCATCATATTGCCAAACCATCTGATTTATTGCTCTCTATTGAACTGTATGACTTTTTTCAGTCCTAGTCTTCTAATTTCTTCATTTTTAATTTCATGTGTTCTTGTTATTCCAGCATCTCTTCTAAGATGTGTTTTTAGTAGTTATCAGTTACTTAAATATGTGTGGTGTGTGCGCATGCATGTATATGTGTACATATATGTGAAGTGCTTTTGTGTGTACAGTTGTAAAAAAGGTATGTGTATGCTGTGTGTGGGTATGTGCTAGCATGCACACACAGGTTGCAGTTTAACCTTGTCCTATTTGTATTCAAAGCATTGAAGTATTTTGTTGTGTATACCATTTTAAAGTACTTCTTTATATACTGTTCAATACTAGAAACACATAGTTATCTAGTAGCGCGATTGGTCTGTAAACAATATAGGTCTAGCCCTATATGTCTTTTTTCCTAAAGGCGTGGAAAATTGACCTTTTTATTTATCCAGTGGCGCTTTCCTGTTTAAAAAAAAAAATCCATAGTTATCTTATTGTATTAATTGACGGAAAGCCTGTTGGACCAAAAACTATCAATGACCCAGGTGCAGAGGAACTGTCAATTGATTGGCTGAACCCTAAGATATTCTTATGTTCAATTTGAAGAATTTTACATGCACAGATTTTGAAAATCAAAATTATGTTTCTTTCAATAGCTGTGTGTTTCTTTTCTGAGTAGAAAAGCACCTTCGGATAACTATGCGTTTCTCTTTTCTTTCAAATATTTTGTTTTTGTCGTTCTTGGATATACATTGTTGTGAGTACTTAAAAAGCTCAGTGTAAATTTGTATGAACTGAATAACTGTTTATCTGTAGAGTTGTAAAGTAATTTTATGTAGGTGTAATTAACATGTTTAATTGTTTTACTTTCAGGTTGGAAACTTATGTTGATGAAAAATATAAGGAATTCTGCCGAGACCAAGGGAAAGCAGAAGATGTAGGTTTTCTTTCTCTTGCTTATACAATTGTTTGTACACATTTTTTGTCATAGTAAAGTAAAGTAAAGATCCCTTTCACACCTTTAGGCGTATCGGGCATATGGAAAGAGCGCCCATATTTTTACAGACCATCAGCACTCGGTGGGTAATGTGGTCAGCATTACGCCGGCTGTCTTTACTTTCCCAGGACAGCCCATCCTGGTACCCATTTGAGGCTGGGTCGACCTGCGACGTCCCATACCATGATACAAATCCACGCAGCCCGCAGTGGGTTTCGATCGCGGTACGTTGGATTACGAGTCGGACTCGCAACGCCTTAGCCACGGACCAGAATATTTTTTCTCACAATATATATTGTTATTTCGAGGAATAATAAGTTTCATTCACAATAAACAAGCTACTCTTTGAAGACGATTCGTGTTAGTTCCTTTGTGAGGGAAGTGGACTGCAAGACCATTTGAACAGGCTAGACATGCAGAAGATATAACATGAAAATAAATACTACAAAAACTGAAGTAATGCAGAACAATAGAATTCCTAGTCCGCTACATATCGAGTTGAATGGTACTTTTCAGAAGCCAGATATCGAATTTAAATATCTTGGAAGTAAATTCTCGGAGGATAGGAGAATAGATAGGGAAATAGAAAGAAGATGCCAACAAGCCAGTGCACTTATATACCAACTGACATCATTATTAAGACATCAAAACATAAGTATCAGCGCAAGAAACAGATTATAAACAGCACATTCACACCAGCACTGTGCTACCAGTGCCAGACTTGGTCATTATCAAAGGCTAACTACGTGAAATTAGCACCTATGAATAAGATGCCAGAAAAAAGCCGCCAACTTTATCATCCGAGAGAAAGTTAAAAATGATATTATCAGACAGATTGTGGGAACAACACCATGCAGCACATTCATTGAGAAACAGAAGATCACATGGTTTAATCATCTAGTAAGAATGCAGCCAGAACAACTACAAACACAGGCGCTACACATAAAAAGATTTGAAGTGAAAGCAAGAGGTCGTCCTAACAGAAGATGGATTGATGACATTAAAGAGCTTCTACATCGACAGTAGCCATTGCTGCCCATCAAGCAGTGGATCGCAAACTGTTCCTCCCCACAATGCTTAACGACAGAAATGGAAAATGATGATGATGATCTATTGTTAACAGCAGACATCCATGTGTGGGTTCTTGGACCCCATTATGGGGAAAACGAGCATAGACCCACTGCCTCCCGAACCAGCATGTAAGAGTGGACTAATTCGGGCTTCCTTCAAAGTCAGAGTGCGTCTGCCTAAGAGGTAAGGGTCCAATAGTCTGCATAGAAATAAGCAAGATCTGTAAAAAAGGGTGCACATGCAAAACTCAGGCCCTGAAATAAAGCCAAAGTCCATCATTGAATGAACAACCAGGTCTTTCCACCGGGGCTTACAGCCATTGAACAACAACAGTTATGTATACCCAAGCAAATGTTCATCATATCATTTTGCAGAATGTTATTCTCATTACAGTACTCCAGAAGACCACTCAGTTCCTTGCCAGCTGTCCTTCTTCTTCTGCCTCAGCCATCTCATGTCTAGTCATTCTATCCATCACTATTGCATGCAGCTCTCTCCATGTCCTCCCCATCTTTTTTAATTCACTCTCGACCTCCTTTCTCCATGTGTTTTTGGGTCTTCCTTTTTTTCTGTGCCTCTGTGTGTTCCAGTTCAAAGACATTCTAGTTATGTTGTTCTCAAGTTTGCTCAATGTGTGTCCTGTCCAACACCAGCATCTTTGCTTCACCTCTGGGTCGACTGAAACTCGTTTAATTCTTTCCCAAAGCTCTGCTTTAGTGATTCCATAATACCATTTAATTCCCACCAGCACCAGTTAATGAATGTTTGTAATTTTTTAGTAACTGCCTTAGTTGTGGAGGCCAAAAGAAATTAAAATTAAAACTAAACTTAAATTTGTTAACTCTAATGTCAAACCAGTCAAATCAGTACTGTTATATGGAGCGGTAGCAACTAAGGCCAGCTGTCCTACTTCATCAAAGTTTACTAGGGTGTCTTCTAGATCCTGTATCCAGCATTGTGCTGGTTGACCTCTGCCTTTTCTTCCAGGAGCCATGCCCTCCATTACTGTCGCCAGCAATTCATTATGGTGTTTATCAGGGTTAAAAAATTTTGTTTTCAAAAAAGGAGACCACCTCCTTTGT